ACAGCTTCTCCCAGGTCCTCTTCAGATTTATGATGTAGATACCATCACTTTTCCTTTTGTAGATGTACTGCTCCATCTGAAAGTCAAGGTTGGTGCCACCTAAGTGGGTTCCTGCAGCAAGGAATTTGAGGACATCCTCCTCCTTCATCTGCAGGACATCAAGGGCTCCGGACATTGTGTAAGTTTCCCTTTAAGTTACGACGGGAATCAAGAACAACGCCGTATGGACCCGTCCCAGAGTAGCGCGGAAAGCGTGTTTCCTATTTTTTAATGAGGGGGAAAAACTCTTTTTACTAATTCCTCCCTTTAAGAATTCCCAATTGTCTCACCAAATCTGCCAACGATGATGATTCACATGTGAGGCTGACTGCTTCTGCGTAGAACAGTAGAAGCCTGAGCAGGGTTTCAAGGCAGCTACCTAGTGTGGTAGCAGCCTGAGGAGGGCATCCAGGGAGAGCCCACAACCCACCAGGAGAGAAGTCAAAGGGCCAGTCATTTCCCCAGGGGAATGTGTGAAAACGGCTAACTCCAGTTTTTGGAGCCCAAAATTCTATGGAGTTTGTTGCAGAGAGGCTGCAACAGAAACTTAGCCAGTGGGGTAGGGACTCTGGCCACATGCAGCTCTGGCCTGTGCTGGTGACTGCAAAGCCATAGGCAAGTGGCTTTTTTGTAAATTTGCATCACAAAAGTTGGGATGCCAGACATAGCATGAATCATAATTGGTCTTTAATAATAAAAACCCAGAGCCAGATATCAGGGTAAATGCTGAAAGATCAGAGAAGTTGAACAGCCAGCCACTAGTGTTCTTACTATGAAATCCTCAGACTGAAAGGGGCAAGCAAGCTCCGGTCCCTACTCTGCCTTATCACGTCCTCTCTCTGCCCAGCCAAATCACTTTCTGCTTCTTCCTCCCAAGTGGAGATTAAAGGTGTGTTCCACCACTGCCTGGCTTCTAGTTTCTAGCTCCACACTCTGATCTCCAGGAAAGTTTTATTTGTGAGAGCACAAACAAAACATCCCCACAGAGAGGTATAATGAATGGGGCAGGTCCAAATTCACATCCTCAGTTCTGTGATTGGTGGCACTCATCTTTGCAGTTCCTGCAGGGATACTATAATTGCTTTTGACTTAATATTCTCTTAGGTAGAAGTAGCTCTAATGGGTGCTAGAGGTTAGGGGACAATACAGGGACTCTTCTAGCTACTAATTATGTCCATTTCTTTCTTTCTTTTAAATTTCTTTCTACAATTTATTTATGTGTGTATACCTTGGTGTACATATGGAGGTCAGAGGACAGCTTATAAGAATCCATTCTGTCTTTGCATCGTGTGAATTCCAGGTTGTTTGGTTTGGTGGTAAATGTCTGGTTGTTTTTGCTGCTGTTGTTTGTTTGAGTCAGGGGTTTGCTATGTAGCCTACGTGGCCTTGAACTCATTATGTAGCCCAGGCTGTCTTTCAACTTGAGGTGTTCCTCCTTGCCTCAGCTCCCCAGATGCTAGGATACAGGCACCACCACAGCCATGGTGTCAATCTCAATTTGCATCCTGGAACTGTGAGCCAGACCTGAGCTAAAACTGTGTTGATTATCTGACCTCCATAAGCCCCACTCTAACCACAGTGCCACAGTGCAGCTTTATGTCATCTCTTCAAAGAGATCGATTTTACGTGTATGAGTGTTTGTTTGCATGTGTGTGCAGTGCCCATGGAGGCCAGAAGGGGGAGCTGGATCTCAAAGAATGAGTTAGAGATGGCCATGGGCTGCCATGTTGGTGCTGGGGACAAAACCTGAGGATTATCTTGAACTCCTTGTCCTTCTGCTTCCACACACTAGGTGCTCAGATGACAGGAGCACACCATCACACTTGGTTTATGTGGGTCTGAGGACTGAACCAATACCTGTGCTTACTATGCAAGTTCTCTGTAGAGCTATATTCCAAGTTCTGATCTACTATCTTTTCATTTTTATTTTGTTTATTGTTGTGTGGGTGTACATAATATGTCTGGGGACATGTGTGGAAGTCAAAGAACAGCTTTGTGGAGTTGGTTCTCTCCTTCCATTTTTTTTTTTTTTGTCATTGTTGAGACAAGGTCTCACTATGGAACCTGGCCTGGAACTCAGATTGTAGACCAGGCTGGCCTTGAACCCACAGACATCTTTCTGACTCTATCTCCAAAGTGCTGGGATTAAATCATGCACCAACACATTGGCTTCTCCTTCCACTATTATGTGAGTTCCAGGGATTGAACTCAGGTCACCAGGCTTGCACAAAAGCACCTTTACCTGCTGATCCATCTAATCCCTCTCCCATCAATATCTTAATACAATCTTTCTAAAGAGGAGTGCAATTGCAATATATGATAAAACATGACTGGACTTTGAAAACAGTTAAGTGAAACAAGGCAGATACAAAAGAAAAAAAAATCACAATCCTCTTCATGTAAAATACCCAGAAAAAGCAAGTTTAGACAGACAGTAGATTAGAGGTTTCCTTTGGGGCTAAGGAAAGCCTTTTAGAAGTAAATATGTAGTGGTGACAGTTGCACAGCATTGTGCACATACAAAATGTCATTGAATTGTAAACTTACAAACATTTACATTAGGGGCTGGAAAGAAGACTTGGCAGTGAAGAGAGCAGGCTGCTTTTCCAGAGTACTCAAGTGAGGTTCCAGACACCCACACGGTGGCTCATAACCAGTTCCAGGGAACCTAAGCCCTCTAAAGCTGGATGGTACCAAGCACACACATGTTGCCCATACATACATGCAGACAAAATACTCATACATATAAAATAAATAGATCTAAATTTTTAAAAATGGGCTCAACTGGCAAATTTTCTTATGCATTTGTAAAATTTTTAAATTTCATTTACCTATTTAGTCTCTCTCTCTCTCTCTCTCTCTCTCTCTCTCTCTCTCTCTCTCTCTCTCTCTGTGTGTGTGTGTGTGTGTGTGTGTGTGTGTGTGTGTGTGTGTGCACACCGTGGCATGAGTATGGAGGTTAGAGGCCAACTTTCCAGAGTTGGTTCTTGCCTACCATGTAGGCAGACGTTTCTTTCCTGCAACTGCTCTCAAATAATCACTCAGAGGCTTAATATTAATTACAAATGCTCGGCCAATAGCTCAGGTTTGTTACAGCTAACTCTTACACTTAAATTAACCCATGTTTCTTATCTATACTTTGTCATATGGTTTGGTACCTTTTCTCAGTCTGGCATGCCCATCTTGCTCTCTCTGGGTCTGGGTCTGCTGGTGACTCTCTCACTCAGCCCCTCTTCATCCCAGCATCCTCAGTTTGATTGTCCCACCTACCTTTATCCTGTCTTGCTATAGGCCAATCAGATTCTTTATTAACCAATGAGAGTACTACATACTCCTAGTGTACAGAAGGATTATTCCACAGCACTATTGTGTGGGCTACAGGGACTGAACTCAGCACCTTTACCTGCTGAACCTTCACTGGCCCATTCTTACACATTTTTTAAAATCACAGTTTGAAAAATAATATAATATACTTAGACCATCAAATTTGATATTGAATGGGCGACTAAAATAGAAAGTGTAAGTAAAGTATATCTCAGTGAAGATGTAAACGTGTGAACAAATGTGTAGCACTGAACAACAGTCAGAAAGTGCTAGGAGGTTGGTGAGATGTCTTAGCAGGTAAAAGTACTTGCCCTCACAGAGAAACCCTGTCTCGAAATCCCACCCCCACAAAAGAAAGAAAAGTGCTCGCCTCATAAGCCTATGATACACACACACACACACATAAATCTCAAAGAAGAAAAGTTAACCACACAAAATAAGCTGGGGCAGGGGCTAGGAAGATGGCTCAGTCAGCAGGTACTGTAAGTATGAGGACCTGAGTTCCAGTTCCATCACCCACATAAAAGCTGGATGCAGAGTACGTATGTGTAACCTCAGCATTGGGGGAACAGAGGCAACCATAGAGCTCACTGGCCTTGGGGGAAGGGACAGGCAACCCCTAGAGCTCACTGGCCAATCAATTTAGCTAAATCAGTTTGCTCCAGGTTTAGTAAAAGATCTTGTTTCAAAAAATAAGATGTGAGCCGGGTGGTGGTGATGCACACCTTTAATCCCAGCACTTGGGAGGCAGACGCAGGTGGATCTCTGTGAGGCCATTCTGGATAGCCAGAGCTGTTATACAGAGAAACTCTGTCTTTAAAAAAAAAAAAAGTGAGGCAGCAAGATGGCTCAGCTGGTAAACGCACTTGCTGCCTGTCCTGATCATGTAAGTTTGATCCCCGGAACCCACTTGGTGGATAGAGAGAACTGTTTCTTCCTCTGATCTCCATCCATGCAGGACCACACATGTAGCAGGCTTTTTCTTTTGGGCCACCAACCAGCTCCCAAATAATTGCACGGAGACTTCTTATTAGTTATGAATGCTCAGCTTAGCTCAGGCTCGTTTCTGGCTCGCTCTTTTCACTTAAACCTGTTTCTCTTTGTCTACCTTTTGCCTCGGGGCCTTTCACTTTTCTTCCCTTCATTATCTCAACTTCACTGCCTCTTCACAGCCGACTTCCCGTGTCTGCTGGCTGGTGGCTGCCTGACTTGCCCAGGGCATGATTCCTCTTTCCTCCAGTTCTCTTCTCTCTTCTTATTTCCTTCTTTTCTTTCCTAGATATCCTCTCTGCCCGCCAGCCCCGCCTATCCTCCTGCCTAGCTATTGGCTGTTCAGCTTTTTATTAGACCAATCAGGTGCCTTAGGCACATCTTTACATAATTAGACACACATCCCTTACATGATAAACAAATGCAGCACAAACAAATATAACACACCTTTACACAGTGAAAGTAATATTCTGCAGAATAAACAAATCTAACACATCTTTGCCCAGTTAAAATAACATTCTACAACATATACAGATACATACACATACATAAAATAAACAAAATATAATTATTTGGAGGGGTTGTTAAACCACTTTATTCAGAGATGTGGGGAAGGGCTGAAGATGTCCACATGATTTGATGTCCTAAGCAGGACAGATCTTTGAGGCCTCATTGCTAAAACCTGTAACTTTTTGGGGGTGGGTGGTTAGGTAGGTGCTGCTGAGCACTGAACCCAGGGCCTAGGCAAGTGCTCTATCAATGATCTACATACCCTGTCTCTCCCCTGATTTCCCTCTCCTTCTTCCCTCCTCTTCCACTCTCCTTCCTTTCCCCCATCTCTCTTTTTCTCTCCTAGCCCCCTCTCTCCAGGGTCTAGCTTAACTGACCATGCAGGCCTTGATGGACCCCCTTGCCACCCCTAAAGCCTTTACCACCAGGTCCAGCTCCACTCAACTTTAAAAAAACACAGCGTATAAAGGGCATCCCTTTAATTTCAGTGCTCAGTGGGCTGAAGCAGGTGGATCTCTGTGAGTTCAAGCCCACTCCAGCTTACATAGCAGGTTCCAGGCCAGGTCTGGAGCTATGTAGTGAGACCCTGTTTGGAAAAATAAAGTACAGTTATCATTATTCCTACTCTGTTGTGCTAGAGAACACCAGAACTTATTTCTTGTGTGAGTGTGTGTTCGTGTGTGGTGTGCATACACGTGTGCCCATGCCTGTGGAGGCTCAAGCTTGACATTGTGGTATCTTTCTTCAGTCACTCTCCAACTTCAGTTTTTCACAAATTCGTGTGCAGATTTAAGCATATGAAACAATAAACTTATTTAGCTTTCCATTAACGCCTACACTCCACCTCTTAAAAAATTGTTACAGCCAGGAGAGGTGGAACACGCCTTTAATCCCAGAAACAGAGGCACAGGCAAGCAGATCTCTGTGAGTTCAAATTCAGTCCGATCGACATAGTGAGTTCCTCTGTGGACACGAACTTGGTTTCTAAGATGCAATGCCCAGGTTTTGCCAGGCTCCAGAAGCTGACCACCAGATTCCATGTTACATCAGCAGGACGCACGTGAGAACACCGGGAAGACCCGACCTCAGGCACCAGGGATGTCCTGGTCCTCAGAGTCGTTTCAGATGTCCCGCCATTCCGGAGCCAATTGCAGTACAGCTGCTCCTTGCGGTTACAGCCAATCATCTGCCGCTGCGATTGCTCACAGCGAGGTCGCTGAGGCAGCAGGTGGCCCGTATTTTCGGAAGGCCTCTCCTCCCCACACACATAGAAACGAACACCAACCCTTCTGACGCGGCCATTGTATTTAAGGGCAAATGGGCCGCTGCGGGCCACGGAGGTCCGAAAGGCGCCATATTTGCCAAGCGGCAGAAATGGCGCCTTAGTGCCGTCAATGGCAACTGAAGCCAGGCCGTCGCCATATTTTCTAAAGGCATCTTCCGGGTTCCTTCCCCCGAGCTGTGTCTCTGGGCGAGCGGCTGTGGAGTGAACTACGGGGCATTACTAGTCTCCACCGGAGCCCTGCAGCCCTCAGCGGCCACAGGCGGCCCACTTTTTCCGCTCCCTGACCAAGGGGCGTGGCAAGGGCGTGGCAAGGGCGTGGTTTCCCGGGAAAGCCGAGGCCGGAAGCCGGAGGCTGGGGCGGCCAAGCCGCTGCCGGGGCAGGAGCCCCGATGGCGCCACCCCCGGCCCCGCTGCTGGTGCCGATGCCCGGGGAGATCTGGCCTGGTTTCAGGAAGCCTGAGCTCGTGAGCTTCGCGGACGTGGCCGTGTACTTCTCCCCGCAGGAGTGGGGCTGCCTGCGGCCCGCGCAGAGAGCCCTGTACCGGGAGGTGATGCGCGAGACCTACGGCCTCCTGGGCGCGCTCGGTGAGGCCCCGGGTCAGAGCCCCGCCCCCCATTCTCTTCGGGGGTTCACAGGGGAGATGCTGTAGACCGACCAAGTGGATTGTGAGCCCTAATCCCGCACTTTTCCACCAGCAGCATCAGTCACCTTCCATTCCCAGGGCTTCCTCGGGAGTCTCCATTCAGGCAAGAGCATCGCAAACCCTGCCCAGGTTGATTTGAGCATAAGTTCCGAGGAGATGCCCTCACCCTAGTGAGATGCTATCTGCCCGGGACAGTCGCTCAGGCCAGCACTGTGACCCCTGTTCTCTCTCAGGGTTCCCGGGCCCCAAACCAGCCCTCATCTCTTGGATGGAACAGGAGAGTGAGGCTTGGAGCCCCGCCGCCCAGGATCCTGAGGAGGGGGAAAGCCTGGGAGGAGCTCCGAGAGGTGAGGGATTGTCCCAGGTCCTGCATCTGTTTGCCCGGGGTTTCTTCTCTAGCAAAGTTTTCTTTCAGATTCCCCATTCCAGCATCCCTGCAGAATTTCAAGAGTCAACGTCTGTCGGGTACTAAAGGAAAGAAAGCCGACTTGTTTTTGGAAACTCGGGAGAGCAGTCCTGTTGAGAACAGAGTAGGAGAATCTAGAGCCCACCGAACTTTTAGGGTTCCAGATGTTTGTTAAATACTGCTCATTTCCCACTTTTCAAAACCAACTAAGGCTGGTCGTGGTGGCATACACCTTTAACCCCAGCACTCAGCAGAGGCAGGTGGATTTGAGGCCAATCAAGGCTACATATAGTAAGACCTGTCTCGGTTAGCCGCCCTCCAAAAAAAAAAAAACCTAAAATGCCCCTAAAAATCGAACTGGTTTCAGGTCTGCCTGCTATATTTCTCAAGGCGTAGTGTTAGGTGAGAAAAATGCCTGTATAATGACAGCTTGCCTCGTCTCCCATCGCTGCCCGGAATCAAAGAAATCTGAAGCAAATATGGTGCCTCATCTGTAAAAGTACCACAGTACCAGCAACAACAAAAACCCCCTAAATACAAAATACAACAGTATCTACTGTTTATTGAGCATTTACTAAGTTATCAACAAAGGTATCAACAAGCATGTATGTATTTAATCCTGTAATAACCCTGTGAAGTCCTGAAACAATTGTTTTCCCATTTGACACATGAAGAAGGAAATTTTAACTGCTTGGCTTTCAACAAAGCCTTTTTGTTAGCCATTGGACAGTGTATTTTGGCACTACCTGGGTAAATGCTAGGGTAGTCTCTGCAAAAGTGTTATGTTTTATTGAGACTTGTTTTTTTAAAGATTTATTATTTTTCATTACATGTAAATGTATATGTCTGCATGTGGGTATGTGCGCACGAGTGCAGCTGCCTGAGGAGGCCAGAGGCATGAGACTACCTGGTGTGGAAGTTATAGATGATTGTGAGCTGCCTGATGTGGGCTTTGGGAACTGAACTCAGGTTCTTTGGAAGGGCAACAAGTGCTCTTAACCACTGAGCCATCTCTCCAGCCCCTGTTTTGTTTTATTTTTGTTGTGTTGATTTTTTTTTTTTAAGACAGGTAGCCCTGGCTGGTCTAGAACTTGCTATTTAGATAGGGTTGTCCTCATACTCACAGAAATCTATCTGCCTCTACCTCTGAAGTTCGAGGGTTAAAGACAAGCAGCCACCATACCCTACTGTCCTGTTTTGGGTTTCTGAGACAAAGTCTCACTATGTAGGCCTTGCTGGCCTCAAACTCATGGTTATCTTCCTGCCTCAGCTTTTCCAAATGCTAGGATTATAGTTACTTCCCTAGTGAGAGTTTTAAAAATGTAATTAATTTGTTCCCCAGGAGACACTTCAGATAAGGAGGAGCAGGGCTGGAAGGAAGGAGCCGAGAGGCCTGCAGAGACTTCTGCTCAGTTGCAGTCTAAAGAGGTAGTTGAACATAAGACTTGTTCCATGGCTCCCAAGTCCTCTGCAGGGGTACAGCTACCTACCAGAGCTTCCTCAGGCCAGGTGGCAGGTGCACAGCCTCCTGCCCAGGTATCCAGCACAGATGTGCAGGACAGCCAGCGGCGCCATGTGTGTGTGGACTGTGGGCGCCGCTTCACCTATCCTTCGTTGCTGGTCAGCCACCGGCGCATGCACTCGGGTGAGCGACCCTTCCCCTGCCCAGAATGCGGCATGCGGTTCAAGAGGAAGTTTGCCGTGGAAGCACACCAATGGATCCACCGTTCCTGCTCAGGGGGTCGCCGTGGCCGTAGGCCTGGCATCCGGGCTGTGCCTGGAGCCCCAGTCCGAGGTGACCGGGATCCACCAGTGCTCTTTCGGCACTATCCAGACATCTTTGAGGAGTGTGGGTGAGCTGAATAGCTCCCTGCATCTGGAGAAGAGCATGAACTTGGCACTAAGAACTGACTTGAGTCAAGACTTAGGAAATGAAATACATCACTTTGACTTTTCTCAAGGATCCCTTGTAAACTTGTAAAAAGAAAAGTGCCTGTAAAGATTCATATAGATTAAACCTGACCCCTGCTCCCCTCCCCAGTGTTTGTGTTTTGAAAAAAAGGGAGGCGGGGGAGCTGGATTGGGGATGTGATTCAGTTGTTAGAGTACTGTTTTAGTCAGGGTTCTCAAGAGGAACAGAACCGAGGGGATGAGCACACACACACACACACACACACAGATGGTGTAGGTATAGGTAAAGGCAAAGAACAAGAGGCAAGAGGATGAACTAACTTCAGAAATACCTTTGTTGTGGGATATTACTTTATGTAAAGATCTGTAACATTTGTTTATGGTGCATTTGTTTAATGATGTAGAGATGTGTTGCTGTTTTATTTTGCCTGCCTAAGGCACCTGATTGGGCTAATAAAAAGTTGAATGGCCAATAGCTAGGCAATAGAGACATAGGCAGGGCATAAGTAGGGGAGAAGAGAGAAAAGAACAAGGGAGAAAGAGAGGGAGATGCCTGGGGCTAGTCAGCCCAGCAGCTGACAGGCAGACGCAGAATAGGACATACAGAATGAGAGAAAGGTAAAGAACCTTGAGGCAAAACATAGATGAAGAGAAACAGGTTAAGTTATAAGAGCCAGTGGGACAAGCATAAGATAAGGCTGAGCATTCATAACTAATAATACATCTCTGTGTCATGATTTGGGAGCTGGTTGGTGGCCCCCCCCCCCAAGCCTGATACATGCCTTTTTATCTTGGTTCCTACCAGAAGGTGCCACCCACAATAAGAAATGCCTTCCCAAGTCAGGACAATTCTTCAGGTGAGGCTCCCTACTCAGGTGGTTCTAATTTGTACAAGTTGACATTCAAACCAACCATAGTAATTCACCCTTGTCAGCTTGACACATATATGGCATTTTAAAAACCATACTCTTATGTAGGCATGTAGCAGGTCTATCTTTGGACCGTCAACTCTCACATAATGACATAGAGACTTCTTATCAGGTATGAAAGCTTGGCCTTAGCTTAGGATTGTTCCCAACTAGCTCTTAAAACTTAAATTAACCTGTTTATATTAATGTAGTCAGATTTTCTTTCCTGCCTGACAGTTCCCAAATGACCAATATGGATACTTATTATTAATTATAAATGCTCAGCTGATAGCTCAGGCTTAGTACTAACTAGCTTTTACAACATAAATTAGCCCATTTCTGTTAATCTATGTGCTGCCACGTGGCTTGTGGCTTTACCTGTCTTCCAGCATGGCTTGCTCCTTCTATGTCTCCTGGTGACTCTTCTGACTCTGCCCTTCTTTTTCCCAGCATTTGCTGTGGGATGTTCCGTATGGCAAATGTGTTGCTCTGATTAGTCAATAAATAAATCACTGATTGGCCAGTGGCTAGGCAGGAAGTATAGGAGGGACAAGGAGGAAAATAAAGCTGGAAAGTGGAAGGCTGAGTCAGGGAGACACTGCCAGCCGCCATGATGAGAAACAGCATGTGAAGATGCCGGTAAGCCACGAGCCATGTGGCAAGGTATAGATTAATAGAAATAGATTAATTTAAGCTGTAAGAACAGTTAGCAAGAAGCCTGCCACGGCCATACAGTTTGTAACCAGTATAAGTCTTTGTGTTTACTTGGTCGAGTCTGAGAGGCTGTGGGACTGGCAGGTGAGAGAGATTTGTCCTGACTGTGGGTCAGGCAGGAAAACTCTAGCTACAAGCATTCTCCAATCTGGCTCTCCCACCCAATCTCTTTCTGCCCAGCTATAGGCCAGTCAGCTCTTTATTAACCAATGAGAGTAATACATATTTACAGTGTACAAAGATTGTACCATGGCATATTAATCTACGTTCTGCCATGTGGCTCGTTACCTCTTCTCAGTACTGTAGGTCTGACTTCCTCTAAGTCTGGCTGGTGAATTCCCTGCCTCTCAGATTCATCCCCTGAGTTCCTCTCTCTCAGGAAGTCCTGCCTATCCTCTCCTGCCTAGCTATCGGCCATTCAGCTCTTTATTAAATCAATCAGAAGGTGCCTTAGGCAGGTGAGGTAAAACAGAGACATCTTTACACAGTGTGATCAAATATGTAACAAGTCTTTCTCTGTGCTGCCAGACAGCTCCTAAATAATGACGTGGAGACTTATATTAATTATGAAAGCTTGGCCTATAGCTTAGGCTTGTTCCTAACTAGCTCTTATATTTTAAATTAACTCATATTTTTTAATCTACATTCTACCATGTGACTTTTTACCTTTCATTTAAACCTCTGACTTGTTCTGCATCTCCTGGCATCTTCTGTGCACCTAGATTCCTCTTCCTCTCTCTTCCCAGAAGTCCCACCTACACTTCCTGCCTAGCTATTGACCATTCCGCTCTTTATTAAACCAATCAGAAGGCACCTTGGCAAAGACACATCTTTACAATATAAACAAATATTCCACAACCCAATTATCTTGCAACATAGGCACACATGCCTATACAATACATGTATAAATATGCATTTTGTTCTTTGAGACAGGGTCTCAACATGTAACTCTAGTTGGCTTGGAACTCACTATGTAGACCAGGCTTGCCTCAAACTTACAGGGATGAACCTTAAGTGCTGGGATGAAGGATGTGTGTAAATGAACTTTTTTAAAAATAGAAATGATGCTAAGATGCACACAAGCTGGAAGAATTTTCTTTTATGTGTATGAGTGTTTTTCCTATATGTATTCCTGCAGAGGGCAGAAGAGGACATTGGATCCCCTGCAACTAGATTTTAGGACATTTGTTAGCGGCCATGTGGGTGCTGGGAATTGAACCTGGGTCCTCTGAAAAAGCAGTTAATGTTTTTAACTACTGAGCCATCTCTCCGGCTCAAATAAATAAACATTTTTAAAGTAATAAAAATAAATCTCAAGAACTATAACCTTATCCTTTAAGTCTCATGTTTGTTTGTTTCCTTTTTTTTTTTTTTTAGCTTTTAAAAGAAGCATTTATTTGTAGTATGTGCATTACAGGAAACACAACACAAGAAGCCAAGAACAGCCACCCAGTCACAAGCAGCTCAGCTTGATGTGTCCTTCTAGATGCTGTAAGTGTACACACATTTAGGGAATTGAGATTATACAGTATGTACCATGTTTTCCCCCACATTGCAAATATTCACCTACTAAAAACCCCACGCTACAGGAGTATTTTGATAACCAAGCATACACCATTCTGTCTCAGTCTGTCAGACAAAACTGTAATCCTGTCTTCCTTGGCAACAAAAACTTCATAGAAGACAAAAATGGCAGTAGGCCTCTGGATAGAAGTACTGGTGAAGTTACAATTAAAATTCTGCACTCCTCAATGCTCAGCTTACAAGAAAACACAAAGCCACAGACCACATGAAGTGCAGCATTCCTAAGTTTATCATCAGGTCTATATACTAAAATATGAGGGAGAAGGTGTGTTCCTGCTCAATAAATGTATTCCTATGGAGTAGTTGAAGATGCACCTATGGTAGGGCTTCTCAGGATGTCAATCTCAACCCAGTACAGCGCTTTAGATCTCACCCTGTGAGCCTTCCTCTGCCCGTCCACAGTCAGCCTAGCAACATGAATTAACTCACACTGTTCAGACATGGTTTAATGATTCTCTGCTCAAGAGGAACCTTTTCTGTTGATCTGTCAAGCTATCCTTTCAACCATATGCTCTCCTTTAGGACATTTATGAATTTCAGATGTTGTGGAATGAGCTTTGCACAATAAACACAAGTATCTTCCCAGAAATGCACATATGGATCCCTGGGTACAGCTGTAACTGTCTTCCAGATGTGGTGGTCCTAGCAAAGAGCCCTTCTCTTGTCCATGCTCTCCTCTGCACAACTCCAGTTTGGGATGATTCTAGTGAGGGTATTACAAAGGTCACCCCCAGAAGACAGCCCCTCCAAAAGACTAGCAGGACATTTATAGTGACTATCTTGCTACTTCTAACATCCTTTGGGCACTGGGACTTATCCTCTACTACTTGGCAACATGAACTGAAATGCACACCAGAGCAATGGCTGGACACCCGGGAACCATCCAACAGGCACAGTACCTTTTACTCTGCACTATTCCCTCCCCTATGCACCTCCACCACCTGGTAACAGTATCTGCTCAAAGACCAAGTTTAACAATCCCACCCCCCCCACCCCCCCGTGTAACCATTCCTATGAAATAACAACCCTTAAAAGGTATTGGTAACCCTCTATTTTTACCTTGTTGTGCATTTTTACATTTATGAATTAGCATATGCATGTGGGTGCATGCATGCCACTATGCTTGTATGGAGGCTAAAAGGCAATTTGTGAATCAGTTTTCTCCTTTTATCATGTGGATCCTAGAGATCAAACTCAGGTTCACCAGCTGGGTGGCAAGTGCCTTTACCTGCTGAGCCGCCCTACCTCCATTATGCACATTTTCTTACTATTTTGAGACAAAGTCTGTGTGGCCCTGGCTGGCCTGGAACTCACAAGGTCCACCTGCCTCTCAGCCTAGGATTAAAGGCGTGCATTACCACAGCAAGTCTATTATGCACTTAAAAGTCTAAAGACCAGATGTTTCCAGGAACACTTCAGTTTCCCCGACACATGCACAATGCAGTGCAATAAAGAAACTGCACAAACCTAACATACGTATAAATAGCAACATTCCGGTCTAGAACCTCTCCCATCTCTCTTAAGCCAGGGGTCAGGTTTATATAACTGTCATGTTTTTGTGGAGATATTAACAATTTCACTTCCTAAGTGGTTTTAAGAGGTTTTTTCCCTACGAATTTTAACACGACTTTAAACCATGTCTTTTCACTAACTCTATTTTGTCACACACTGGCAGCCTCTTTACCATATAGGAAGACTAGGCACTCCATATGTGGACTTGTCTGTCTTCTGTATACACGATATATCACAAAATAAGATGCACAGATAAAGGGACAATAGCTAATCTTACATTACCAAAACTTACATTAACATTAGGCTCTTCATATGCTTTGTTTCTTCCTCCCTCCCAAACCAGCACAAGGATTATTGCTCAGAACTGGTTTTATCATTTTATTTCCAAAAGACAGCATTTCACCATG